GCTGTCTACCACGTCGCGCCTTATTCGCTGTAGCCGCTTCGGGCTGAAGGAAACCACGTGGGGGTCAACAGATGACGTGGGGACAAGGCGTGAAGAAATGTGCAGAGCCATTAAGTAGAGTAGGTGTATCCCGTCTTCCAGGTTATTGTCCGAAAGACTCCGTAACTGGTTGGTTGGCGACATTGAAGCATATGGCGGTGAACCGACAGCAGTGGCATTCTTGTCGTCGTTTCTTATCAGGCCAGAACGCTTGAAACGGTATGTATGCACAGTTCGATTGTGCACCCTGTGTGCTGACTATAGAGGTTCGCTTTCTTTTCCCGTCCCTAAAATAGGCCCAATCCCTGTCCTCCTTACACATTCTCACTTATCTTGTATGCATTATGGGTATTGTATACAAGGTAGTGAGAATGTGTAAGGAGGACAGGGATCGGACCTATTCTTAGGGACGGGAAAAGAAAGCGAACCTCTATGGTCAACACAGAGTAAACAGTCCAGCTGTGCATATATACTATTTCAATCACTCTGATCTAATAAGAAGTGACAACATGATCGCCATTGCTATCGATTCGCGGCCATGATCTTCATTGTCTCCAACCATGCGGTTTCGGATTCTTTTGGACCCCAACCCGGAAACCGAGAGACACTTACTCTACCTAATAGCTCTGTGCATTTCTTCATGCCTCGTCTCCACGTCAACTGCTGGCCTCCACGTGGCTTTCTCCAGTCTGCAACAGCCACTTCGAATAAGGCGCGTTGCGGTAGGCGACCGTCGGACATACGCAAAACGTGTCCTAACCAACGAAGCCTATTGAAATGGATTCGATGCGATAGCGAGTTCTTGTCCAATGTATTCCCGACGACTTACTTTTAAGTTACTAACCCGCTCATTCTATCTCACTTGGGCCAGACCACGTATGCATCGATTGTCAAACACTGCTAAACGGCGGATGTCTTCTAACCGCAAATTCAAGGTCTCACAAACGTACAGCAGAACTGATCGTACAGTGGCAGAGTATACGCGACTTTTCAACTTCAGTGAAACGTCACATCGCCGCCGCAGGTGTTTAAGTCCTACGTATGCTGCTCGAGCCTTGGAAATGCGGGCGGTTATCTCCTTTGATGCGCTACCGTCGTTGGTCACGCAGCTGCCTAAGTACGAAAAGCACTCAACTTCAGCTTACTCCTGACCGTCTGGTTTCAGAACCGAACTCGGCGACACCCAGTCTTATAGCATCACTTTGCACGTTGAAGGTGCAAAGCACATGCCGAACAGAGCGACAGAACTTGTTAATCTGTCAAGTGCTCTTTGCGCATCCTCCATGGATTCGAACAGGCAAACGATGTCGTCAGCGTACTCCAAATTGAACAGCTTTTCTCCAACTGCCCATTCAATCCCTACATTTTGTAGACCACTTGGTGTGTTCTCCAGCATTCCGTCTTTGACGAAATTGAACAGGAATGGCGAAACGGTAGCTTACTGCTATTTAGTCAATTTGAATTATTGTATCAGTTAAATTGAAGCGCCACGTTGCTCTCCGTCAAGAGCTGTGGTGTTGGATAGGAACAGATGATGATCAGCGCAAAACTGAAGAAGTCGATCACCATCATCTGTTTGGTGGCAGGGCAGAGCACAATGACCGCCTAGGCAAGCTTCCGATGCGCTCAGTTTTTCGAATTGAAATCACCTGTGAGAACAACTATATCGGAGCTTCGAATCAATCGAATGAGTTCGGTGAGTTTATCAGAAAAGTCGTTCTTTTATGCTGAAATGACAAACAAACACCTTTTGGTGTTGCTTCCCTTCCGGACGATGATGGACCCTTGGAGCCGCATCGCACATAAACGACCATTGATGGGGATGCAATCGGGTAGTGCAGCTTCGGCT